ATTTTTCTCTGTCACTTGTTGATCACTTACAGCCCTTTTAGGATTTAGTGCCACTCATCGTTTTCTGCATTCACACATAGATATGTACATAATACACACTCTTGGTTCCAAATGTATTAATACTACAGCAATTTTTTAATTTAAAACTGGAACTTGACAGGACTCCTCCCCCCTCCCTTGAGTCTTGCAGCTTTTCTGCCTTTACCACTTTCTGTTGCTCGCTTTAGTGGGAACTATTTGAGTTTGCCTTCTCCTACGGGTTTCCACATTACACAGCTTGTACAGGTTTTGCTGTATATGGTTTTAGTAAATCTAAGAGGGGGGTGGGGAATAGCTATTTAAGCAAGGGAAGGATATTCCTAAATCTAATTTTTAAAATCTATGGAATTAATACTTTATTTTGGTAATGTTTCTTGAAAAATATTAGGGTTTTGATTTTTAGGACATCAAATGAAAATGGCTGCCGTGTGTTTACAAAAAGGTTAATAATTAGCACAAGAAGCCTGGTGTCGCAAAGATTAGACATTCAGTTGTTATACAAAGGTAGGTGGTTACATTTAGCATGGAATGGCTACTGGAGTAAAAAGATCTAATGATCTGTACCTGTAAAGATTTTTAGGTGCCATCAAGTCTAGAAAACACTACAGGGTAGTCCTGCTTTGTCATATAGGGTTGCTATGAGTCAGAAATGACTCATCATTGCACAGTAATAGTTCCAGTTGTCTGAGTTAAAACCAATTCATCCTGGACCCCATTTGTGTCAGTGTAGAGCTGTGCTCCATGAGATTTTTAATGGGTCATTTTCAGAGGTGCCATGCCTTTCTCCTGAAGTGCCTCTGGGTAGATGCAAACTCCTAGCCTTTCAATTAGCAGTTGAGCGTGTTAGTCATTACACCTCCCAGAGACTCTCTTAATAGGTAAAGCTAAATACCATTCATGTTGTTAGTTAGTTTCTTATTATCCATATTAATATACAGTTCTAGCCATGGCCCATTCCAGGGCTTTGGGAAGTTGCTGTTCTGGGAAGAGGGGTTAGGATTATTGTGAAATAACAAGGAGTAGAAGCAGTTGACTGAGCAGAAAAATGGATTAATTAGTAAAATAGGGAAAAAGGAACATTTCCGGTCTTCCACATAACCTGTACTGTTTACAGCGTAATTTAAAGTATCCTGCTTTTCTCAGTAGGACAGTGAGAACTCAAGCCTGAAAAGTCATGGTGAAGCAATCTAGAATTTCTTTCTTAAATGAGAGCTGTAAAGGAGTTCAGAATTCAAAAAGCAATGTAAAAGTTATTCCCTACTACAGAAAAGCCTTTTAAATTGCTATTAACGTTTCATGGAATAGAAATGCATGCTAGGCATCAAAGTTTCCTTGCCTAGTGTAATGATGCAGGGTTATACATGACAGAACGTCTTTAAAAACTGATAACTAGCATACTTAACCTGGCAGGGGAGATACCATGATCACAAAGGTGGTTTTTCCAGGGCGAGGCTCAGCCACTGCACTCTGGATGTGCTGACCCTGCGATTTCCCCTGTTGTGGGAAACTCGACTGCATAATTTATGGCAGCAGGGGAATGCGATTGCACTCTTCCCTGCGATTTTTTAAAAGAAAAAAAAA